CAAAATGGTTTGAAGCCTCACATCTTTTCTTAGAAAGTGAAACTCAATTCATTTTAGTCCAATTCAAACTAGAATCCATGAACAAAATCATTCATTTCTTTAAAAGGTATGGAACTCTGAATCACATTATCTATTTCATGCTTAGCATAATTAGGCATTCCTTTCCAGAAAGTGTGTACATGAAGACATATCAAGAAAGTACTCAGTGAGCTCACCCCAAGGGATAATTCCAACTGGTCTGCTAGTATGACCAGCAGTGTTTCAAACTGGTGACATACATGCAAGCTTCCATGAAAAGAAAGGTCGCTTTTAGTTTGGTTTTGAGAAGGAGTCAAGTCAGGTTTCTGCATAGGACAGCTACTTAAAAGGCTGCACGGTCTAGTTATCTCAAAGGTCTTTAGGATGTGTGAACAGAAAGTTAAACACAAACATTCACACTGATAATTCAATTTACTGCAGCTGCATGAAAACTCTGTAAAAATCAGAGTTTTCATGGTCTCAATCAGAATGTTGACTGACCTCAATTCAAACCGGCCATGGGCAACTGTTACCCTGATCTAAAAATCCAATTTAAAATACCAATTTCAAAGTTCAGAAACTGTGATACAAAATGAAACAAGAGTCGCTAACATGTATCAAACCCAACTGCCTCCTCCTTCCTAGTTAATGGCAGGATGCATTTTCAGTTGAACTTGGTTTTTCTTTCAGCATGTAACATTCAATTTTGACATGTAGTGCTTCCTGTTACTACATCTTGATATTCTGCAAATCATGACTCATTCTGAAGTCAGAGAAACTCATCAAAAATCCCAAATTGCACAGCTCATAGGAACTCAAGCCCTTCCTCAGCACAGCATTCTTAGGACATTACTTGAACCACAGAAAGAGAGAAAAAAAAAAGTCCATGTAGCAATTCTGTCAACCAATTGTTGAGTCAACACATTTGTTAGATCAATAAATCCAAGCTTTATGTGCAGTAATTTTGGTTCTAGTCTAATTGAAACATGTGTGATATGCTAAGTGAAGAAAGTTACAAAACAGTAAACACCACAGGAATCAAATCAAATGCTGTTTATGTATACACACATATTTTTCAAAGAAAAACACACATCAAAATGATAACAGGACAATAGGTGACACTTCTTTTCATGTGGTTTTCCCCAGATTCCCAAGGTAATTAACATCATTTTAATAACAGTAAACCCATCTTTTATTAGGCTAGGATGGTCCAAGTATGCTGTCAATCTAGAAGGCACAGGGCAATTCTGAGTAACTAAACCATAGAAAAAATTTCCCCTGAAACATACAAGAAAAGCCCACAAGAATTGGATCTTCCTTGGCCACCCTACAGGTACAGGTGTTGGCCCTTACTGAAGAGAACCCACTTCTTTGCAAATCTAACGTGGAGCTCCAGGTCTGGGAAACTTGAACATGACCGAGTCACACCCTGGGCTGGAAGGGAGCAGAGCTACAGATTAGTAAGCACTAACTCATCCCCAGCTCCAAAAGGCTGCTCCAGGAAGTGACAGCCTGGCAGGGGTTTTATGGAGTGTGTTGAGTTTATCAATAGACAGCATTTTGCAATGCTTCATGGCACCCTACTGGCCTTCTGACTCAGATATATAAATGTAATTGGGGAGAATGGACCACACAGAATCCAGTATCTGACAGTGAAGAGGGGAATGTTTTAATTTATATACACTGCCTGGAAGTCCTTTAAATCTAATTTCAGGGAAAGATTCAAGTTACAAAATGTTGTTACAAATATAAGTTTAATATATGATGTCAGAGTTACTTTTATTATATACTTCTAGTTTCAAGTTATTTGATTTTTTTAACCCAAGAAAAAGAGGAAGTCGTTAATCAATGTTTAGGTGGTTTCAAAATGCAAATAGGGTTAAAAAATGATTACGCTCCCCCATCTAGGCTTCTGCTATCTGCACTGGTCCTAGTGGTCGAGTCCACAAAGATGGTCATGCCTACAGAAGGTTCCAGGATGGTCTAACTCAGCTCACCAAGGGTCTATTGGCCCAGTACCCAGTCTCTGCCTGCCTTTCTATGGCACAAAAGATAACTCATGAGTACTGCAATATACATGCAAAAACATGCAACTGACAGAACATCCTAGTCACTGAATCAGATGCATGTACAATTTTTCATCACCGTCACCAAAGTACACCAGAATTTCTTAATCTGGACACTACTGATATTAGACTAGAAAATTCTTTGATTCTTTGGGAGGAAAAGACTTTCTGCGAATTGTTGGATGCGTCTACCCACCAGATGCCAGCAATGCCTCCCCCAGCTCTGTCAACCAAAATGTCTCCAGATACTGCCACCTGGGAATCAAGTGACTGCCAGTTGCCAGATGCAGTTAAGAATGAAACGGCACGTACCCCAAACAACAGCAAGCAGGGATGAGACATGACAGTGAGATTTTTCTAAAGGAAATACTCTTAGCAACATTTACTATGTAACCCCCCCTTGGCTTTCCTGTACAAGGTTAGGTCTTGAAAGCTTTTTCATTATCCCATGTAACTTGGATCTTCCTGCTCCCAGCTCTTGAGACCAGCTTCCCAAGCACCTATTTTCCATGCCAGGCATGGTGCTGGGGACAGCCTGTACCCAGGTCCACTGACTCACAGCCTGCTCCGGCGGCCCCCAGGGGCTGTTTTTAGGACAGTCTGCCAGGGTCAGAGAAATGCCAGCACCTTCAAAATGGGGCAATACAGGGACCCCGCGGCTTCAGTTTGGTTCCTGAAAATTCCTCATCCTTTTTAGTAACTTCATGCTTCTAAAGAACCTCTAAAGGATTGGAGAAAGGAAAAAAGTAAAAAAGCCAGCCAGAAGGCCTCTGCTATACTGGGCCTGGAAAGGCCATCACGTTTCATCCTGGGCCAGCTGGGCAGTTGGGGTCATTACTGGAAACTGCAAGAGCACTTATGGACAGACTCTGCTGCCATCTGACCTGCGCACCCTCCTAACACAGTTTGTCATTTTATCGTTCTATAAATTGAAACTCCTAACTGACCTTCCCCCAACAAATGTGTGCCAATCCGAGAGAGAGAGAGAGAAATATGAATATCAATCTCAGCTCAGAAATCAATTATACTCATCAACAGATGCCCGGAATATGCCCAAACCTCAGCACCCCCCTTCCTGCCTCTACCCACCCCCAAACACTGAAGCATAAATGGGAGAAGATGGGCGAGTTTGAGCTGCTGGGGCTACAGAACCTGACCTCTGCCCCTACACACACACACACACACACACACACACACACACACACACACACACACACACACACACACACACACACACACACACACACACACACACACACACACACACACACACACACACACACACACACACACACACACACACACACACACACACACACACACACACACACACACACACACACACACACACACACACACACACACACACACACACCCCCCTTCCCGCGAAAGCCCTGCTCTTCAGGTCGGAGCTCAGAAGTGGTCAAGGGGGGCTGCAAAGTTTGCAGGATTCTGCCCCGCAAAGGTCGGTGTGGCGGCCGATCCCCCGCCCCCCCAAGCCACCCCAGCCCTCCCTGGGGCTGACAGTGGCGGCGGCAGCACAAAACCCCTCCTGTGCCGAGCAGCGGAAACTCCTAATGAGATTAGTTGGTGTGTGGTGCAGACATTACTTCGCAGTGACTAAAGGGGCTCTCTCTCTCCCTCTCCCTGCAGCAGCTAGTGGAAAATTCAGGGCACTTTTTCCCCCTGCAATAGCAGATTCCCTTTAACCCTCTCCCCCCATCCAATTCCAAAAACAACTCGGCCTCCCCCCTTGCAGCCCCCCAAGCCGGGTGGAGTGGGGTTGGCGGGGGTGAGTTAGCGGCTGGGGGCCTTCAAAGGAGCCTGGGCGGGAGGGGGCCTGTGGGCCCCTGGAACACTACAAAGGAAACTGTAAAAGGCACAAATACATAAACCTGAGAAGGAGCAAACCACAGTTTCTTTGTGAGCTCCTCCAGTGAGTCATTTTCAAGACGCTGTCGGCTGCCAGTTTCAAAGCGGAAGCGCATGGCAATTAGTCTTGCCGTTTCCAGACAAGCCAGAGACTCTCCCGACGCTCGTTTTTTTTTTTTTTCCTTCTTCTTCTAAAAAGCCCCTTTTGCAGTTTCTGAAGTCACATTTCTCGCTCCCGCCCCCACCCCACCCGCCGCCTAACCATACCAGGGTCCCCAACACGACTGAGCTCAGAAACCAAGAAAGCCCCAGACCTTTTTCATTCTGTTCTTCACCCCCTCAAATCCTCAACCGCCTCCCCCAAACGCTAACCGCACCCCCACGCTCCATTCCCAAAATGAAAAGTCACCCCCTCTGGGCTGCCGTCCAGCGTCTAGCCCAGACACCATCTCTGGGGGCCGGGTCCTCCTTCCAAACTCTGTGACCCTCCGCTGCCCGTTTAAATGTCCCCCTTGGGCGTGCACCTGGGGCGGCGACCTGGGCTGGGAGTCACCTGCACAGCCACCACGGATGCTGCCCCCAGCCCCACTCCATCTCCCTCCCCAACCCCCAGTCCACGGCCCCAGGGTCGGAGCGCTGGCGCCCCGTCCTCCCCAGCGATAGGGGGAAAGGGGGAGTAGCTGGAAGGTCAGGCGCAGTCCAGCGAGTGTCTTGAGGCACGCAGCCTGGTCGGAGCCCGCATCAGTCCCCCGACATCCCAAACACACAGTCCGGCCCGGAGTTCCCAGTGCAACCTCCGGGGCTGCCAGCCATCTGCGCAGGATCCCCGTGCAAGCCCCGGGCCCCGCGCGCGAGCGCATCAGCAAGCAATAACAGCAGCATTCCCCCACCCACCACCGGCGCCCCCCGGCCCGCGGAGCACCCCGCAGCACCCACCGAACCCTACCCCACCCGGCCCCCGCGCCGCAGGCACAGCAGCCACCCCAGCCACCCCGGAGCAAACTTTGCAGGAGTCCGCGCAACAGGCGGAGCCCCGATGCCTACCCAGACGCGGGGGAGCCTTCAGGAGCCGTCTTCGGGGCAAGGTCTAGGAGGACCCAGGCGAAAGCCCCCGACTTTCCATGCTGACAGGCGTCTGCAGACGCTCTGTTGCTGTTGTAATGAGATCCTGATTCCCCCCCCCCTTTTTTTCTTTCTCTCGCTCCTTTTTTTTTTTCTCCCCCCCCCCCCCCCGTGTGTGTGTGAGAGCAGGAAGTTGGAGCAGTCAGGCCGAGCCGGCTCACTTCCTTTCCTGCATTATTCCCCAGGCGGTGTGCAGGCTGTGTAAACAGGCTTTTCCGCCCCGCGCCGCACGCCCCGGCCGCGGCTGTGCGCCGGGGCTGCCCACCGAGGCCCGCGCATTCCCGCCGCTCCCGGGCCCGCACGCCCCCACGCCGCCCGCGCACCCCCGCCCGCCGCCGGCTGCGCTTCCTGCTCGGCCACCCCCGGGGAGGAGCCCCCGGGGAGGAGCCTCCGGGGGTGGGGATCCCGGTTCGGCCGCAGGAGGCCGAGGGGAGGGGGTCCCTGGGCCGGGCACCGCGGCGGCGGCGGGGTCGCACCCAGCCAGAGTTGGCTAACGAGTGGGGGCGCTTGGGGCGGAGACACCTCCCCCGACCCCTGGCCTCGCAGGCTGGGATGGAAGAGCCGTGGGCGGGCCCGGGGTTCAGGGTCGGGGAGAGAGGGTTTCGGATGAGAAGATGTCGGGCAGGCAGGACTAGAGGCAGCGTTTCCGTCTGGGGACGTAGACGAACCCAGTTCCTGTCTGGGTTTTTGTTTTGGTTTGTTTTGCAAAGCCAGCCCTTAGAGTGGGGGGCCCACGTTGGGGGAAAAAAGTGAGGAGCCATCTGCTGAAAGCCAGCCTTCTCCATCACACACCTTTTTGCCCAGTCCCCAGGGCCTCGCAGTGACCGCGGGGGTGCTCAGTGACCAAGGCCTCGACCGCACCCGGGTCTCACCCTGGGCGCTCAGGCCAGACTCCAGGTTGAAGCCAGGCTGGTGCAGTGGCCCGAGAAAGGGGTAAAGAAGGGAGGGGTGCCTGTTGAAGACCCCTTCGCCCCTAATCCCTAGATGCCAACCACACACGCTCACCTAGAATCCTCCAGCGCCATGACTCTGACTCCTTGGCTGTGTCAAGTCGGGAGTTTCAGGCGAAGCCGTGGATGTGAACGGGATCCGCACACAACTGACCTGGGGCGTGGGGCTAGGGGCACGTGATGAGCCCTGGTTGCTCATCAAGTCCGGGAGTCCCTGATTGAATACACCTGGATGATTCTCCTGCCTGCTGAACAGGAGCATCACCTGGGGAGTGTTTTAAAAAGGATTCAACCATAGAGTCAGCCCGCTTCTCTGGGGTCGAGACCGGAGTCTTCTCCAAAGGCCCACCACCTGTTTCTATTTTCTGCAGTCTCCTTGCTAGGGCATCGTGGATCCAGCTCACGCTTCTATTGATGAGACCTTCCCAAGGGCAGGGTCAGTGCAGTTATTAGAGCTGGTTAGCACCCCCGTCCCCAAGTGCCCATCCCAGCACTGTGAGCAACAGGTGGCCAGTGTGGCTGGCTCAGGTGAGAGGCATGGGGTGGGCGTGGGTAGGTTGGAGACCAGGTGGGAGAGGGAAGCAGGAGGGCAGGGTCAGGGAAGGACAGACCTCTGAATCTCCACAGCTCATTTTCTGCTTTGGGGATCATCGACCTAAATCCCTAGTTGGCCTCCCCTGTCACTCAGCAGGCTTGGTGCTGTGTGCCTGCACGATCCAGCTGTGTGTGGACTGAGTCTGTAAACTTTATCTTTGTCAGGGAGTGGGAGAAACACACACAGATAACTAGCAACCCCTGTTGCTTTGTTTTAGACCTTAAATGCATGAAAGAAACCAGTCTGAAAAGGCTGTGTACTGTATGACACAGTGATATTCTAGAAGAGGAAAAGCTACGGAGACAGTTAAAAGGATGATTGTTAAACTGCATCCCACATCACAGAGCCTGTTTCAAGCCCTGGCTTCGTTTCCTATCCAGCTTCCTGCTAACGCACACCTGGGGAAGACACCAGTGAAGGCTCCAATAGTTGGGTCCTGGCACCCACACAGACCCACACGGATTGAGTTCCAGGCTCCTGGCTTCAGCCTTACTCAGCCCTGACTGTGGGCATTTGGGGAGTGAACCAAAAGACAGAAGAGATCTCTCGCTTGCTCTGCTTTGCAAATAAATAAAACTTAAAGAAAAAATTGTTTGGGGGCCCAGCAGGACAGCCCAACTCGCTAAATGCAAGCACCAGGATCCTATAGGGGGTGCCGATTTGTGTCCCTGCTGCTCCACTTCCAATCCAACTCCCTGCTTGTGTCCTGGGAAAGTAGCAGAGGATGGCCCAAAATCTTGGACCTGCACCCACATGGGAGACCCCAAAGGAGCCCCTGGCTCCATTTTAAAAAAGAAAGTCTTAATTTTTATTTTATTTTATTTTATGGATTTACCTGACAGGAGAGAGGGGAGCTCCCATTTGCTTTTTTACTCCCCAGGTGCCCACAAAAGGCTGGGGCATAAGCCCGAAGATTAGAACTCAATCCAGGTCTCCTGTATGGACAGCAAGGATTCAACTGTGGAGCCATCACTGCTGCCTCTTTGGGTGCACGTTAGCAGGAAGCTGGAACCAGAAACAGAGCCAAGATCCAAATGCAGGCACTCTGCTGGGAGAGGGACTGTCCCAATCAGCCTCTTAACCGTCATGCCAACTGCCTTCTCCTAAAGTCTTATCAATATTTTTTTTAACAAAAACATATGCCCAAGCCAAACATAGGCATATTTTAAGTCAGTAGCATTTACATTTTTGCTTTCTTAGAAATCTTTGTAGAATCCTCACTGCAAGGGAGCAGAAATGTACATGTTTTCTTCAGTTAGGAGAAAGACATTCTAGGAAAAGCACTGCGAGAGCTTTAGGGGTAGCCTTAGGCTTTCCCAACCCACAGAAGGCCTCTGAAGTGTCTGAGATTTTGTATTGGCCACACTGCCTGCTCCCAGATCTTCATGTAAATGAGCACTGCTGAGCAAACTGGCTCCTGCCCCAAGCCCTAAGAACACCTTCAGGGCTCCGCAGCTTCTGTCCTAAGCATTCCAAGAAAAAAACTGCGATGTTTTCCGTGCTGTCCTTCGCCCAGGCTCTAGTACTTGGGAGACTTGTGGAGTTCCTGGCTCCTAACTCTGGCTCCAGCTCAGCCTCAGACATTGCAGGCATTGGGTAGTGAACCAGAGTACAGGAAAGAGTGTTCTCTGCTGGGCCTGGTGTAGTAGCCTAGCGGCTAAAGCCCTCTCTTTGCACATGCTGGGATCCCATGTGGACACAGGTCCTGGTCCCAGCATCCCTGCTTCCCATCCAGCTCTCTGCTGTGGCCTGGGAGGGCAGTTGAGGACGGCCCAAGGCCTTGGAACCCTGCAGCTGTGTAGGAGATCCAGAGGAAGTTCTGGGTTCCTGGCTTCGGATTGACTAGGCTGTTGTGGCCGCTTGGGGAGTGAGGGGGGATTCTCCTCTTTGTCTCTCCTCCTGTCTGTATATCTGACTTTCAAATGAAAATAAATAAATCTTTTTCAAAAAGAGTGTTCTTTCTCAAAAATAAAAGTTGAAAAAAATAAACCAGCGGAGAGCTGTGGAATCTACTGTTCACGATCTACCCCTCTTTTCCTATGCCTTTGTTGTAAAGCAGTCAGCACTTACAACGGTGTGAGTTGCAAAATTACTTCCAGAACCCTCCTTTATTGCTAATGAGACAGGGTCTGCAAGCACACAGAATGAGATTCTTGCTGTTTTGACACAACGGAGAGCTCACCTGCAATGATACCGTTAATCTGTGATGTGTTACATAGAGGTGCCCTGTGAGGGTGAGGAAAAGTTAGCTCAGTCACACTCCATGAAGTCAAGAATGGGAGAGGACCAGCTCTCTCTAAGAAAATCAAAACCCTAGCTGCTAAAGAAGGCATGTGTTTATAAGCTTATGGTGGGATCATGCCGTATAACAAACAAGTCCAAACCATAGTGGTGTTCCCGGGGTTACCAGGTGTGTGGCTGGACCTGGCTCCCTTCTGTGTCACATGAACTCTCACTCTGGGGTCAGCCTGAAGGTAACAGAAGCTTCTTGGGTCATGTGGTACTCCAGGAGACTAGGTACTCCAGAGAAGCGAGTGGAAATCTCTGATGCCTGTGAGAACCTCTGCTTGGGACCTGCTGGCTTTCACTTTTGCTCATGTTGCACTGTGAAAACCGAAGTATAGCCAAGGGGTGACCTCGGTAGATGAGGAGAAGGACAGAGAGGGAAGAGAAAATTGGGATCAAATAATTGGCTGTACCACAAGGGTGAACAGATGATGGGCTTATAAAAACAAGAGTTTTTTCAGGCTCCTCATGATTCAGCACCACCCCTTGGTGATAACAGGTGAGATGCCATAACAAGTTGTAAAAAATTACTAATGGTCACCTGTTACTGGAGAAGTGGAGAAGAAAATAAGCTTTGGAATAAGCCAAAGTAAAATGTTTAAATTCAGGACAGAATAAACAGTGTTTGAAACTTTTGAGCTAGTGATTTTTTTTTTTTTTTGGTGGAAAATTAAGTGGCTTGTCATCACTGCTTTGAAGACTGGCTCAATACTTGGTTGGGGGAGGTCGGTGGGAGTGCTGGAGGCACGGGTTGAACATGAGTAACCAATGCCTGATGGGAAGACAGACCACCCTGATGGAAAGTACACCCAGTCTTCTAACAGTTCCTAGGAAGGAAACTAGGCCCGAGTGCCTGGGCTTGAGGACCAGCTCTGGATCCTGATCCCAGCTATTCACCAGTACAGACCAGGGAGCAGAGGTGATGGCTGGAGTGATTGTGCCTCCCATGCAGGATACCTGAATTGCATTCTTAGCCGCTGGCTCTAGCCTGGGCTCAGCCTTGGTCGAACTCTAGCTGTTGGGAGCATCTGGGGAAGGACCCACAGATGGGAGCTCTCTCTGTCTTTGCCTCTCTTTCTACTTCCAAAACAGTAAATAAATAAAAATGGAAAGTTCATGGAAAATGTGTGTTATGAAAAAATTAGGCATGGATTTCAAAATTACTCTTGCATCAGGAACTCTTTGAAATACCCTTGCATCTATTTGGGATCAGGGTTTGGGGGACTCCAGCTCTATACCTGAGTTGTTCCAATCCTGTGACTTTGTCTACATCAGTCACCCTCTCTGCGCTTGCATTCTCACATGAATGCTAACTTGACATTAAAACAACATGTACTGCGGACTGTGGTTTTCAAACGCCCATAAATTTCATTTGAAGAAGTAATTTAAAGACAGGCCCCATCTCTGACGTGTTGTCAGAGGCATCTCAGCGTGGACATCTGAGAAGCACTGATTGGAACCGCCCTTTCCACCCTCAGATTGGCAACCTG